GATTTAAGAACTTTTGTTATTGCGAAATTTTAATAACTAGCGCACCATCGCATGCCAAATATTTTTAAAACAAATCAAAATTCTGGGTCCATGGATCCATGAGTGGGTGGTAACCGTGTGGCACACTGACGTTTGATTGGCTGTGTTTGTGTCGTATATTAAACAACAACATTAATCTGACGTATGGCAGCCAATCATCACAGAACACCACAGATTACAGTGGTTACTGAACAGAACTGTACTCTGTGATCTGTGCAGAACACCTCTTCTGTGATGGCTAAGCATGAGATTATCTGCACAAATGGGATGAAAATCCCCTTAGGGGGGATTGTTCTGTGATTATCTGGATATTTGCTTCCAACCATAAAACACATATAAAACGACATACAAAAGAAAAATTTTTGCATGACAAGGATGAAAAACATGCTCGTGGTCGTGAGTCACTTAATAAGAGTAGTATAGATAAAGACAAGTAGAGAGTGGTATGTGGATAAGCCTTTAGACATAAAAAGTTAGTTGGCTGCTTTCAAATAATTATTATATCTTTTTTGTAATATTGGTTGCTTAAACTTACATTTACTTTCAACAAATCATTATCGAAACGAGCTGATTTTCAGCACTACCTAATTTGTTTATGGCGTAATTTGACAACATCGCAATCCACAAAAAATATACAAGGAAATGTACATAGTGATTCCGTCATGTTGTGTGGTGGTATTTAGGCAATAGGGCAAAATTTATGAAAAACCATAAATCTCGCAAAACACGGATATATCCGCAAAAAACTGTGTCATAAATTTGGCAACGATGTATTTTATTCGTATCTGTAAATGAGGTTTCGGTTATTAACATTTCGTAGAAACTTGCGTAAATCAACAAATGAGATGGAAATACAAATTTACCGCTTTAAGCAGCTGAAAATGTTCAGAAATAAAAAGATATTGCAATTCAGAGAAAATTTTTCTAAAACTAGCCAATTTTCATATTACAGTCGATAAGATTACAGCATTTTTTATTACATAAGAAAATAATGAGTAAAATATCGAAGTTAGTTTTAATTTAATTTCCTAAACCTCGTTTGGACAATTTTTTGGTAGGCTCAACTTTCAATCTCATGCACATTTAAACTTTCCGCCGTTGCAGATTCCTGCAAACTTGTATTTATATGGATTGTCAATCCATATTCGTGATGCACCATTTCTTCCAGGCATTTCTCATCCGCCATGCAAACGTTGAGTTTGGTTCGCATTACGATCTAGTCTTTCGGTTGAAATTTACGGAAGTTATGTTGATGTGTGTTTCAGTATATGGGAAAATGTTTGCGAGGCATTTCAGCATCTTTTGAGGTGAGTTTTAAAGTTTCCTATGATTGATTAACTCTGACTGAAGGTGATTAATTGTTGTCTATTTTGAGTAATGATGTGGCCGTTGCTGCCGCCATTTTCTGTACTATTTGTCTTCGGAAAGCGTGTCCGCAAAGCTTTAATTAATCATGTAAATGATTCAGATCGGAATTGACTGTTTATCTAAATTTCTCTTCGGTGATTTCAGGCAAAAGATGTTCACAACAAGGTGTAATTGTATAATTCACTATTTAGTTGCCATTATGAAAAGCGTGTCTTCGCCAAATTATCCCGATTGTTTTCATTCGGTATTTTACTAAAACAGTCGCTTTTATGCATAACTGTTTGGTTCTGGATTTGATCATAACTATAACAGCATACTTTAAAGCAAAGAAATATGTGTTTCTGGAAAAAAAATGTGCTTAGATTAAGCTGCTCACTGAGTCTAGTAGTCTGCGGTACTTCAACAGCCTATTCTACACCGAAAACATTAAGAATATATCATGTATCTGTGGCCCAAAAATGTCAACTAGTGGTTCAAACAACAGATAATTAGAAGAAACTACGTATAAATGTTACTTGTCACAAGTGTAAGATTCCTAGGAAGGTTGTCCACCTTCTTAGGAACATCCTTGCTAGAAGAGGTACTTCTTCTAGGAACATTTAGGCGTGGACGTTACAAATCTGTCAAGTCGAATTTGCTTAAAAATATAAGTTTGAGGCGTGCTAGGAAACGTATTCCTACAATTAAAAACGTTTTTCAAATTGTCATGTAGTCTGATCTATCAATATTCACTGAGCTTTGTCAATTTGTCAATTGTCAATTTGTCAAAATCAATAGTTATCACTGCAAATCTCCTTTTAAACTAATTTCCAAGTCTGTTGATCCAGCATTGCTTCTAAAAGCGAAAATTTGACGTTGCTCTTCAAAAATAAACGTGTTCTATACCAGAAACAGATTAAATATTAATGTAAACTAATTAAAACCCCAAAAAACACTTCCAAATTATGTTTATTTCACGATCTGACGCCTGACAAGATATTTGTGAAGATTTTATGATCGAATCCATATGAAATTTGTTATTATTTGATGTCACTGCAATTTTCATTCTGAGGAATAAACATCTAAGTCTTATTCTATGGAACAGAGCGCAGAACAGCGAAATGAGCGACAAGAGTGACTATTCGATGTTAGAATCCAGTGACAATTTCAACATTTTCTTTTTCCCTTTCTCCTACAGAATGAATAACATGAAAGATAAAAATGAAAGAATAATTTGAAAACGGGTAAAATTTACTGAGATGATGCGACCCGTTCGTGTTCCAACTCATCCCATAAATCTGTTCTAGAACCATATTTCGGCCACTTACACATAAAAATAGTTCTCATTCTAATGTGCTAATCTCAAGCCCCGACAGAACCGGTATCGAGCCTATTAGATCTCGTCAGATGGGTTTAACATGAAAATTTTGCTGCACATTAAATGTTAGCATATCTGAAAATCTGCACTTGCTTACATCAGTTCTGAACTAGTTCGGAAGTTGTTCTTGAACTGTGGGAAAATCGTTGTTGACGCCAACTTATAGTTGAAGACGTCACATTTATTTCGCATTCTCCATAATGTCGACCATTATTGCGTAACTGTTTTACAACCCACTTGTATTACTGAATCTGAAATTAATTTACATTCAACAACATTCCAAAATATTATTTTAAAATAAAAATTTAATTGAAACTGAACTTTATTATTTAATGGACTTAAAAAAGTTTCTGGTCGAAACGAAAACTTTCAATTCTCTTCGCAAACACAATTTAATTGATTGAGGCGCTTGGCAATTGGCCTATAAAACTATGGTGTTATTTCTATCCTGGGTGCGACAGGTTGACTAGTTGTTGGAAAAGGGGCAGGGTGGGAAGGCGGCCCTGACTCGCGCCCACTCGTTGCGGCCGTTACGCTGACCTTGTTAATGTTGACCTTGGGTTATTTTGGTTGGAGTCCAACTTTCATGATGGCGAAAAAGAACGCCTGCAAAATCACATGATTGCGTTTTCTGGATAAGGACTGTTATTATTTTGTGGGGCAGCAAAGTTCCATTTCTGCACGAAAAATGTCCATTTAAATTCCGGGGTAGGAGAAGCGCTTTTTTAACCTGCACCTACATCTATATACTAGGTGTATGGAGTGGTGCCAGCAATTTTCTGAAGAACAATCAAGGATGAACAGGTTAACTCAAATTCAGTCCATAGTCCATACGTCTGGCGATTTGTTCAATTTTTAGTAGTGTGTGGGTCGTGACGGAAATGCCCCATTTTAACAATAACCAATGATGATCAAAGAAACACCCATTGTTAAGCCCCAGTATTGATTAAGTTTCAAGTTTTGAAATTCCTAAACCGTGTTGAAGGCCATCAACTCAGACTTTATCGGAATAAGATTTAGTTGCTTTTAGGAAAGCCGCAACTTTGCTGATACGTAGTAATAGCGCAAATATCAAAAACAGGTGTTGTTCTCGTGATCATACGTAATAATTCGAATTGATATATTTAGTAACCTCTGCTTAACCTTTGTTTATGGCGACCTTGGTGTGCATATTTTTGGTCGCTATTTTTAAGCTATTGGAAAATCTGATGATTAACCTTATGTTGATACCGCATGTGAAAAACCACGGAAAAAATCAATAGGGATAGGTCTTGAGACATGTTTTTCCGTGTGGGTGAAAGGACGGAAAACACTAGACGCAAGGTGTCGATAGACCGAGCTTGAAGTAGCTTAGAGATTTGAAGAAGGAAATTTTACTGATCAGTTTAGTTGGGTTCTATATTTTTCGCAATGATAACGCGATTCGGAGGATTTTTTTGATATAATAATCCGTTTACCCTCGAAACCCCAGTATCATTCAATTATTTGCTTAGCAGAATCAGAGGTCATTTGTATCAGTAAGCGAGTTTCTGCAAGTCATCTCAGATCCTTCAGTCTTCAGTTTGTTATGCCGGAGTAGGGACTATTTCGCTCTTAAAGGATAATTACGAGTGAACCTCACACATTCAAGAGGAGGATGTTTGCGAAACATTCATATGGTACTACCTAGGTATCATATAAATAAGAATTATCTGTCGGATGTCACTGAGTTGCAAAATATGCGACTCAGTGCCCAATTAATTATCAACCTTGGTGTCAACGACGGTCGATTTTAGTTGGCCGTAACAAATCCCCGTACGAAATAATTTGAATAAACGACGATGATTAGCTAATTATCCATTTTTATCAGTTTGACCATGAAACCGATTATTGTCGGAGAGGATTCTACGTTTCGCCCTTGAACCTAACCGTTGCCGACTAGCTATTTGTTATTCGCCTTTGTACCCACGTCATTCCAATGTCAATTTGATAAAGATTTTTAGATTGGTGTTTTTAAAGCCGATACTCCATTCGTATCAATAACAACAATAATTATGTCCTATTGTTTATATTCAATTGGAAACTAGATAATCGGGGTAAACACACTGCAGAACAGTCAATATGCAAGCGGAAATTTTCTCAAGTTTTAACCGCTTTGAATTGATTTAAACATTCGTTAATCTATAGAGGAGGGACACGTTCAAGTTAAATGAATGTCATCCTTGAATAAAATACGGTTTCCGTCAGATCTGGTGGCGTGTAGGAAATCATCAAAAGTAGGTATAGGTAGCTTAATCTTTCGCCATAGGTCAAGTATAACAGCACATTATAAAGAATTTAGTTAAGAATCAGTAATCTGTCCCAGTCAAGTAGGTTTAGGAAATGTCTATAAGTTGCTCAACAGATGTGTCACATTTAATCACTGAAATTCCAGTCATATCTCCAATTTTTGGTAATGCGAGCTACTCATTCGTATTATAAGTTAAGCTGCGCCGCTCCTAACATCCTTGTTTATCGTTATTATCCATAAATTTCTCCGTTATCGTTCAAGGGCGAGCCTTGAGTTTATTACGCCGGGTTGTGAACGTCGATACTCTCGAGGCTGCGGGGCGGCAGGATGGCGGCACTTTCCAAACACGTGGAATAAGGTTATGTGCAGGGGGTAGCTAGGCGGTGACCTGAAAGGTCGTGGTTCTTTAAAATGGGGAGCTGAACTTGGAAACTTGAAGTACCGTTTCTCCTCTATGGGAATGGAATGCGACCTCAGAACGGTCGAGCACGTCCTTTCCCCTCTAATAAAGTTACAAATTCTCGGGTTTATTAATAAAGTTATAATTGCCTGCCGCCGAGAAGCGACCTTGGCATTAACATTCGCAGTGCCAGCCACGATAAGATAATGTTTTCACCGGGTCTCGGACAATCTCGCACCAACACAACATACATAATATTATAGCAATTGCCAATGAAAAAGCCAAGTCTACAGTACCTACTTTCCATCGCAACCAACTACCAAAGGACTTGGAGCTACGGAGAATCAATATAAAAAAAGTTTAATTTTGTTTTGGAGTAAAAAAATAAGAAGACATTTAAAAAATCAAAGAGTTTGATGTGAGGGCTGTCGGTTTGTGCAGTAACAAGTGAGTTCGTGACAAAACTGGGCCAGAACGATCTGGGGTCACCCAGCGGGTAAATCGATGCAGCTCCGCCAGGCGGAGCAAGGTCAAGGTTGCTGCCGGCGACCGTGAATAACGGGCAAACTTCGGCCTGTTATACCGGCTTCGGCCAGCAATTTAATCATAGTTTAATGTTGAAGCAATCCAAAATGTCTGAACAACACAGACCCTAATTTGATCTCAGACTTTGAGAGGTTACTCTTCACATTTGCCTACAATTTCGGATCTCATCCGTTCATCCCGGTGTTGCCAAATAAGTCGCATAAGCGAAGAATTGCATTGTTGCCATTTCCGGGGAAAATACTGGACATACCATATTGATGACGAAATGAACTATCGGGAATATGATGAAGTCTTTAAACAAGCCATCACATAGTGATGAAATGGCTGTTCGAGCTCTAACTCCAGTGACTATGGCGGGAGTCAACTGATACAAAGAGGCAAAGAAGAACATCCATTTTTAACTCCAAATTCGTACTCAATGCAAGCAGAACAACAAGCCTTTCCACTTTTTTCAGAAACTCCTTCATGATCGTTGTAGAGGCGTAGTAAGTACCTAGCAGATTTCAGTGTTTCCAGATTAGAGTCTTTGATCATATAAATGAAAATAACTCTTGGGCAAAACAGTTTTGATTCGGCTTGCTGCAGCCATAGCAGGTCCTCCTGCATTCCGTTTTAGTCAAACCGCGTGGGTTACATTCTAGATAACCTAATGACGTCAAGGCCTCATGGCCATCGCATGACCCACAGGTTTTACTAAAGGCACAATAGCATTAGGAATGAACAAAACGCTGATATGTTGAAAACGTATAAAAATCTGGAGTAGCGAAGGCCAACATTTTGTTGGGGCAATGACTTAAAGTGCAAAGACACTTTTCTGACGGTAATCTCGATTTGAATGCATCCGATATGGAGCTGCACGCAGTTCAAAACTGCACAAAACGGAATGAAGTCAGACATGGCAATTAATTTATTAAAATAGTGTAATTTCCACGACTTATAGCGACTGGAACCTAGAGATGTGTCACAACACCCACTTAAACATGTAAATGGAAATGTGTGCTTGATTGGCTATTAACATTCCAGAAGGATCATTGAAGAAGATATTTTTGTCATCTGTACACACCACAAGTGGAAGACAGTTTTCTGATTACTTTAGGAGTATATGTTTATCAGAGGACGCGAGAAAAAAGTCGTTGAAAAAACATGTCAGTGTTAAATCTAAGTTTGTTATTAGTTGGTGTTCGTTACAGATGGAGCAATTGAGTTTTTTCCATCCACATTTTAGCTTGCTGCATCGAGCTGTAGAAACCAAATAGCGCGTCCAATGGGAACGCGTTCCTGGACGCATCGACTCAGTGTCAATTTGCTTCCCTGTCAACAGCCCCCCACGTTGCCGGCTTACACCATTCGAATCGGGATCTTAACCATGGAACGGGTCGTCCGGATGGACATACTGTCTGCTCTTGCAGCTGCATGACACAATGTGGCAACAGTTTCTCTTGTACTTTTCCGAAACTTGGCGCACGACCTTTCCATGACCCGCGGTCCTTGGCAATGACGTTAGTCGGTTATACCCTACCCCCGTCCAATCGATGGGCGGCCTTTTCGCGGGGGGAAGCTGGAGAGGAAGCGACCTTGACCTCAGCTGCATTCTATCTAGCTGCAGCTGCACGCTCAGGGTCGGAACGACATTGTCAGGGCGGCTGCCGACCAATTAGGGAGCACAGTCGATTGAGTATCAATGCCTCTCAATTTCCATCAGCTATAACTGCCTGGCGTTCAGACCGGTACAGATTCTAACGCTGTTTTGCCTGCAAAGTTGCTGTTATGCTTTGAAGTCGAGGTAAATGTTACACACATCAGGAGAGTGTTTTACAAATTACATGCCATTCTTCTGTTAATAAATGCAGATATTTATTTATGTACACTGCCGAGGACACAAAATGAATAAATACAATAATCGAGTGAAAATAAACACATAAATGACCGTTAAAATGCAAAAGCATGCGGATATTGTTACATTTATTGTGTAACTGTTGGAAGGCTAGAGGGAAGCGTATTACCAGAGGAAAGGACAAGGTTGTGCAGCTCTAATAACAAGGAGTTTCACTGATGAGGAAGTCATGAAATCCCTGGCCTACAAAATGTATTCAAGGAACACTAATAAAATGTCTCCAGAAAGTGTATCAATATTGTGCAATGGTCATTACAATATATTCTTCTACTAAACACGGATATTTGCAAAAATATAAAGGCAACCGATATGGAATCTGAAGCTAACAGGCAAATAAAAAAATACAGAAACTGTAATATTCAATATATTCTTAGTCCTTATGATATATTGATCGCTAGCTCCTAGACTAGAACCATATAGAAAGTGATAGTACGGCGGAAAGTAGGTCTATGAACTCGACAGGATTTTTACCAAATGCATATTTAGTCGCTTTAGTAACGCTAAATACCACAATAAAAAAATCAAGATTGTGTTGGGGTAATATGTGGGTCAATTAAGCCAGCGAGACATTTACTTTTGGAGAGAGTTCTCGACCGAAGATAAGCGACAGTAGTATTTTGTGAGAAAGCGTTTTATGTTGCGAAAGTGTCGAAATCGATTGGATTTGAGACATTTGTGGAATTATTTGGGGCAGAATTGTCATCAGTAAAAAAAATAATTATTTGCGCTTGGAAGGTCGATAAATTCGACCAAGGGTAAAATCTAAAATACTGGAAGCATCTGTTGCATTGCTATCAAGAACTTATATAAATCAAAATTTCTATACATTTTCCATTCATCGGGAAAATTCTTATACGCAAGCTTTTCAAGGCATTATTGGCAGTTCCTCATCTTCATTGCTTCTTCTTTACTCTCATCAAATTCCTCGAACATAGCTTTACACACGCCTCGTCTAAGCCACAAACACTTTTTTATGAAATATTCGATACAATAGCTTTTTGTTGGACTTTGGAAAGCCGGAAAACGCAGCAAGCTTCTGAAGATGGATGGAGCAATAGTAGACGTAAGTTCATTGTTTCAATGCGTAATTGTGCTCGGCCTGTTACTCTGGGATATCCTTGGCGACTTTTTTTCTACCACACATAAAGAAGGATTTGCATAAAAGAAAAACTATCGACCTTGCTGGGAATATTCTTAGCGGAAAGCGCCATATCACGTCTAGAAAAAACGGTTAATAGAATAAGTACCATGATCACTTATACAACTCGATGATTGCGAAAAGAAGCGAAAATATCCTTCCACCTTCCATGATATTTTTTTTATATAAAGGTTACCGAAAAACCTGTAAAAGCTGATATTTTAAAGTTACTATAACCCTGCTAGTCATTAATTAAATTCTTCATTTTGCTTTTGATCATCGTAGATCAGATTGACGATTATTTTGCTTTTCTATTGGTCGTTTCTGTTGCTGAACAACTAACTGGCACCTGTATCCTCCAGCTAGAATCTGTGACATTCGTTCCTTTCACTCTACGCGATTTGATGGTGCAACTGTTTGAAAACTGCATCAGACAAAACGTTATTTTTTAACGAGAGTTTAAAACCCCTTTTTACTGGAGAGCGTTAATACATTCATCAGAAAAAAATTAACAAGGTCTTTGCAATGCAGCGAAAAAAACGGTGTTTATGTATGTAATTGTTGCATTTCTGCATATTAAACGATCGCCTCAAAGGTGGCCAACGGGCATTAGTTTGAGGATTAGAATAATATCGGCAAATCGCGGAAATAACATTTAAATCGCTCAAATGATGGTCAATGAGCGAAATGCCACCGACGCTCTCTTTGGGGCCTTGACATAACGAAATTATGAATTATTTAACAGCGGCTGCCACAGTAATTGGTCTAATAATAAAGCCCTATAAATTCCTGTAAGCCGATTTCTTTTATTTTGTGATTTCAATGGAATCGATTGTTTCAAGGAGAAAATGCGCATGTGGCTGCTGTTAGAGCGACCTGCGTGCCACACGATTACAACGATTAAGTAAAAGTACATTTTCCAATATTTAGGTGTTTAAATATACAATATTTAAATTCAATTTTGATGACTGTGGCAATCTAGATTTATTGTAATCTTAGCATAATACGATCAATAAAGTAGCTTATTCATATAAGTAAAAATTTCAGTTTCTTAAAGCGGTTTTCGGGACGTCAGTATGAGAAAGGTGCAAAACAAAGTTATGAAAACATGAATAAAAAGTCAAGCAGCTTTCAATAAAAAGCAGTGAGCGGCGAGGAAATATATAATGATTTAAAAACATGTAAATCTTTTGTACTCATCATGCCTCTTATTCTTGTCCATTCCAGTCACGCGAATGGTGTCCGATTCGCTAACAAGATCAAGTAAATCCAAGCGAAGCGATTAATTAAAGCGAGTTGTCGAAAAAGTGGAACACGCGATAAATAAATTTGTTATTTTTCATGTTGCATTGCAAGACAGGTAGAAATTTCATTTGAATTAGAGAGTAAAAGTAAAAGAAAGTGCACGAAGTTAATAAGTGGCGATTGAAGCTTATAGACTGGGAGGTGCGGGTAGCAGGTTTAACAGAAAATTACGTAAATAAAATAAATGGACTGAATTTATATTAGTACCAAATATTCCTATAAATAAAGTTTTGTTTATTTTATGTCTTCGTCTGTATTTTCTAGATACATATGACCATGTCCTAGTAAAATGACTCGATGGATAGGAAGCGGATAGAATTAAGAAACACCCTGTATAAATTGCCTTGAGCGGCGCAAGTTGATTTGAATTTTCTCGCTTCTAAATTCGGTTTGATCCCAAGTTTGTGTCGTTTTACGGTTCCGTGCGTTCTTGAACTTAAACTCAACCTTGCTTTTTTTCAAATTATTCCGACCTTCCTCTTCCTATTTCGAATAACTTTGCTTTAATTGTTATGTAAAATTTTGGTTGCTTGGCTTTATGGGTGGAAGATAATCGTGCAGTATTTTCTTAATGTTTTTGATTGCAATTTTATGCGTTTTTTAATGCTTGATTATAATTGATAATAAACACTTAAGACTATTTAAATATTTGAAGGTAACTTTTTAGAGAATTGAGGTAACAGAACCAGTCAGTTCAATTGGGAGACAATTTTATAAACGGATATTTTTTCTAATCGAACTTAGGGCGTCAGAGCGAATAGAATAAAAAATCACTTAATTTAATCTTTTTCGCATAAAATTAAGTCAAGTTCACTGTTCCACACTAGTCAGAACTTCGTATCACTTGGTCTTTTGTGTATTGCACTTTCTAAAGCCAAACTATTGGTAGAATTCGATCGATGATGTTGAATGTACATTTAAAAGCGTTTTCATTTTTAACAGTAACTTACTAATTACTAGGTATTTATGGCGAATTTTCCATATTGAATGCTATAGGTGAATGAAGATTATTTTAGAAGACTTGACAAACAAATCAACACGATTATCACCATTCTGATAAATCAGTACCGGGCAAGGTGAACAGGCCATAGCAAGCGCATTTTTAGTAAACTATGCGCGACCGTGAAGTGTGATCAATGGAATGACTTGAATGACTTAGTCGAGTGGCCGTCATGCGAGCTCGACCTTAAGCCAGTAGGAAGAGATCTCTTTGTTAACAAAATTAGTAGAAGTTCAGGAGGAAGGCCAGGTGAATAACTGTTCGACGAAATTATTCAGACACAGTATTATTTTAATAGAATGTGCTTGAGGGGCGTAGATTCTTCTGGTCGAAAATTGCATAATGTTCCAATTAGACTCTTGAGGACCTGTAGGTTAAATACCCGCCTTCTTCCTGTGTTAGGTGAAAGGTGGAATCACCTTGCTGTGCATATTAAATCTCGAACCACGGCGAAGGCGTCGTCGACCTTCCGTTACCTCCGACCTCCATCCCTGCTAGATTTGCTTTTACTTTTCACTTCCTGCTGGTACCATATTATTGTTACGAACCGTTGGTTTTGATAGAGCTTTGTTCGCAAAAAGGAAACAAAAATAATGATAAATTTATCCGCAAATTGCAATTCCCACAGCAACAATGGTGTCCTTTGCCACGCAGAAGCTGCAAACAATAAGACACAATAAATCTTTTTAGCTCGTTTACATCGATTATCTTTCACCTTGTTGGCCTAAGTTTACGTATTTGTTATTAAGTCAATCAATGCACTTATTTGAGCCAGTTTATCGTGCGCAAAATATGCAGGCCTTCTGATTATTGCAATCAGACAAAACCCATGTTTATTTAATCGCGGACACATTAGATGCTCTTGACATTTCGAGGCAATGCACGCGATCTACCATTAGAAATATACACCCTTGGCCCGTTATGGATGTCACGAATTCCACTCTCGACTCTCCCAGCTTCGATAAATTATGTTCAGCGGATTAATGCGAATGAGTTTCCTGGTTATTATTCATAATAACTCTTTGTTGGTTGCAACGATCTAATTGGACTGATAGCTGCCTATTGTCTATTTACAGCAACTTGCATAAGCCAAACTCTTTCTCCATAGAGGATGAGAATGAGCTCAAATAGCTTGTGATATTTTGAAGCAGCAATCGGGCGGTGCAGATACTAGAGGATACTTAGAAATGCTTATTATATAGGGAAGAAAATAACACGAATTTTTCGAAGCTTTATTAGGAAGTCGATTTATTCGTGTAACGGTCGCCATACAATGGCGTCGACACAAATAATAAGCGGCAATCGCCTTATCACAATGGGTGTTTGCGTTCAAATTTAACCGTAATGACGGACAAATTAAAAGTTCAAGGTTGGTTTGAGTTCAAGAGCGACCCGACTGTTTTAAAAATAACTTATTTCGTGCCGGGAGCACAACTTAATCTTAATGGCACCTTACAGAGCGAAACGCAAACGTTCAAGTAACATTAATCGAAGGAATGGCATTTATGCTCTATGCGGGTTGAAGCAGGTAATGTGGAGCTTCTGATGTCTGAGGACGAACCGCCTTCCGGCATCCCCGGCTGGTGTCCGAGTCGAATGAAGAACCAAATATATTTAGTTTTTTGAACATCACTATGAGACAACGATACCGCCAGTAGCAAGCAAGAGGTCAAGGGTGTCCAAAGTACAGATCCGACAAAAACAAAATACTCTTATTATCTGCACATTCCTAAAATGTCTTAACTTGCGCGCATTTAGCGGAATGTCGTAATATCTACATTCATCTGACTAATCCAAAGCAATCTGTGCTGGGTGTTTCATGACTAACATTGCAATTTGTTAAGTACGAATTAGGGCATGGATAACGCTTAAAATTTAAAGGGACGTCCTCCTAGCTTCAGTTAGCTGTTCTG